GTTGTGGTGCTAATAATGGAAAGACTCACTAACGATGCCGACTACGATGCCTGCGAAACGTTTGAGAATGTACCACGTCCACGGTCCGACTGTGGAAATTATCATGCCTACAATGGACTCCGTACTATGTGCTATTCTCCAAGTCTTCCTACCAATATGACCAAGTTGCGAAAACAAAGTCAAACTACTTCTAAGAAGTTGGATAATTTAAATTATATTCAAAATAGCATAAAGTAATTGAGGCGTCATTTGTACTGGTTTAGGTAATATGGCTCTGATGTTATATAATCAATTAAATCTTCTCTATGAAGCTTCTCAGTAAAGTAACACAAATTTAATCTATACTCAGAAATCTCATCCGTAATGCCCCCTCTAGACTTCTTAGGTTCTCTGCTATGGAATCGAGTTCCTACAGAGCCTTATAACAAAAGATCAAAACTCGATACCTTGGATGGATGCGTTTTAGGATCAACTTCTCCAGTTCCCAAACCAGAGGATCCAGAACCAGAAGTACTTGAAAGGTCTGCCACAGCCCCCACATCATTTTCAGGAGTAAAATGGATGCGTGCCTCAAGCTCTTGCGGAAGAACATTTACGCCCGGCCCACCGGAAAAGGTTGCTCCAGCAGCTCGAATAGAACCAAAGTTGTTGGTTTGATCAGAGGAGGACCGAGGGGAATCTTCATAGAATGTTGAAGTCGGCTGGCTAACGGTGCCAGATAAAGATGAGGACGCCACAATTTGTGTAGGAAGTGGGACACGCATTGGCGGAGGTCGAGCGGGGGGTACACGAATCTCACGAAGCGTTTCGCGATCTACTTCGTCTTCCCGATCAATGCCTATATAGTTGGAATAGGAAAAAGAAATATAAAAAGAGTAAGGAATGAGGTAGTGGAAAGGCAATTTTATGCCAATAAAAGAAATAAATTGACAAAATAATGAAACTAACTAAATGATAGATAGAAAAATGACAAAGTGATGAAAAGATAGGAAAGTATAATAAAGACAGAAAAAGAAACAAGCGCAGACAATGCAGGTAAAATAATTAATCCAGCAAAACCAATTACATATCTTAATGCAATAAGCAGGACACGATTGTGAAACTCATAAAAATATAAAAATCAATAAAGTATGATGCTAAGATTCAGTCTGTAAGCACATAAGATGATTTATTCAATACATAAAAAAACATGAAATGATTGATTGATTCTATAAAGCGTGAGGCTAAGTGAATCTTGGAAAAGAGATATAAAAGTAGGGCAGCGTCCAGGAAAGTAGTATCATTGGAATAGCTCGGTAGCTGATACAGATCACAATTAGTAGTTTTCGCTACTGGCGAAATTACTGCAACCCACTCTTCGGATATTTCGGGTGTTCATGTCATCTAATAGGCCAATAAGAGGGAAGAAGTTGGTCTCATTAAGACACTTCACAGATTTCATCATAAATTCGCTCAGGCCTGTCGAATTATGTGCATTGATCACTTCAACAACGGTATTTACTTGGATTTGCGTGGGCGTCTCATCGTAAACAGTGAAATGTCAGGATTCAACTTAATCAAAGGGTATTCTTACATTGTTTAAGCAATTTCAATCCTTCGGTAGATTTCAGGATTCAACTAATAAGTCTTCATATATTGTCTGTCTTTGCTGATAAAGGCAGAAAGTTTGCCTTTATATCGTCCTGATAGAAAATGTGTCGTGACGAACAAGATACTCTGCCTTAGATGATAAGAAAGTTACTAATAATGGTAACCAATACATTATGATTCGAAGCTTCCGGAATTCGCCTACTAGTTTTAACTTATAAAAATTGTAAAATGTGTCTAAGTTCTCATTATGTCGTGTAAGAAGCTTAATTATTAGTGAACAAACTAGTTAAACCCAGTAAGATTCCACAAGATGTTTAGCGGAAGTCAGTCTGATCGATTTCATCTATCATGGGGGAACGAAAAACATCCATTCATGTATAGAGAAGTTAGGGAAATCTAAATCATATTTAACTAAGAGGACGTCTCAAGTTCATGTAGATAGAAAGGAAATTAAGTGCGATTTCAAAAAAATAAATATAAACGAAAAAGGTCTAATAAACACACACAAAATTAATATGAGTAGGTTTTTTCAGTTGAGTGAATGTCTTCAATGCTCACTTGTTATTACAGCACTCAGGTATGCCAGTACATATCAATTAAAATATGTATAGAGTAATGTTGATAAATGAATTTGATGGCTTTGGTTGATAGCAATACTTTTCAAAAGGCAAGAATTACAGTAGCTTATCGTGCAACCATATTTCCGTATTTGCCTATGCAGAGGGATCAATGACTAGGTCCGTGCACCCAGTGCTGCAGTATTGCTGGAGATGAGACAATTTCCATTCAGGTTAAATGAACTGTATATAACTTTTCTTGCAAATATAACATTTTAATACACAAATGAGCAATTTCGATTAGAGAATAACTATAAAACTAACGAGCCAAAGAATACATTACATCAAAGATTAAAGATAGAGAAGCACAGCAGCCTTTTTCTTATTAGACTAACATTCAACTCTGTGCTACTCTGAGAAATCACAAGAGTCTAGCTTGCGTAATATGGCTGAGTAAGGACCACACTGCCAATGATCTAAAGCGGTTCGTCCTATACCTACTAGAGAGTAGATAAACACTTCATTTAGAGGATCGGCTGATACCAAAGTCCTCGATACGTCGTAACTAGGAGTGCCCAAAAGACCATAGATGAAAGCAGTGCTGCTCCAACTCACTCTAACGACTAAATAGTTCATGGAATAGCTTAGATTTCAATATGTAAATAACTTTTTCATTTCATGCATTCCACGAAGTTCGATAAGTCAATAGCCTAAGAACGATTCAGAAACATAATTGGTACTTGATAAATGGCATAGGAAAGAAAAAGAACGATTGCCAAACTAATATACCAAGGAAGCGGTGCGCGGTGTCTGGGCTCTCCATCGATTGCGGAAACAGCTCACAATGCCGGTTTACTTGAACCGCTTCCTTGGCTTCACTTGTTAAAGGTCTTCGTAGCACCCCCAAATTGGAAGACGTGATTGGGTAGTCAGGAGCCGGAATATTTTGACCGTCTATGACAGCGCCCTGTTGACTGGAGACCATCAATTGGTGGGGACTGCCTTGAGGCTGTTGAGAATGGGCAAAAGAGCTTTTACGGGACTGGTTACTAGTTCGCAGCCAATCTGAATGTATACTAGCATCGTTAGCCTCCTTGCCCTCCAGATGTGCGCTTGCAGTGTTGATGGACGAAGAAAGGGAAGTACTAGAGGCTAAGGAAGTATTAGCACTAGGAGAGTCGTTATGGTGGGAAATCAGTGTCGCAGGGGGGGTGGCGAGAGTAGAGGAGGTAATGTGAGCAACAGTGGTCAAGGCTGAG